GTCCAAGGGCCGTATGGTAACCCTTTCAGGCTTGCAGGACTGTGTCTCAAACCCAACCCTGCCTTTGTAGTCTGAATGCACCCATGGACAATGTGTCAATGAGCAGGCGTGGCTGCGTTACAATAAAACTGTATCTATGAAAAAAACAGCGGTTGGACCTTGGTCTGGAGTGGGCCAGCCCCCGACCTGGACCGTGTCATCTCAGTAAATGTTCTCTGTGCACTTCAGAAGCACGTACATTCTATCTTGGTTGGGGTGTGCCGTGAATGTCAGTAAGTTACAGTGGTTGATGGTGATGTTCAGGTCTTCTGTATTACCTGTTCCGTCGTTATTGAAGAGTGGGGTTGACAATTTTGACCCTCCTTATCCCTGGTGAGATGATTCGCTCCGAAGTCTACCTTCTGTACTGGGTGGGGCAGAGATAGGGTGAGAGTTGTGAAACCAAGTATATTCTTGTGTTATTAATCAATTATTCTACTGCTTTCCACAGAACTACTGCAAACCTATTTTTGCCCCACCGTGTACAATCGGAGCCAGTCCAGCTTCCTTTGTTAGTGCTACACGGTGTATCTTTTCTGTGCTTTTATTTCGAACCTTGCACCTTTTTGTTGGCTTGTAATATTGTTACTTAAAAGGTGTATCATGTATGCCTTCAACTCCTCACAGTCTGTCTTCAGGTGACCCTACAACACCAGCTCGCAGTTTAAGGGTCTTATGACAGTGTTCTTCCATTTCCTCCCTGTCTCTGTTGTTGCATATTTCACTTCGACCGTGTTATCAACCCCCCGCCTTATAAATTGTCGATTATCTTTTAAACAGATTTACGTAAGAAAAACCTCCTTTAGTTACCCTTGGACTTATGCTTTCCGGTGTTGTTCATTCTTTTACTTGGTCCCAGCTTTCCTTCTGGTGTGGTCCTCCTGCTTAAAGGACCGTGGACCTTCCCGAGGTGCGGACCTGGATGCCATCAGGTTCCGTGTGCCTGCCGACGTCTTCAATTCACTTGTGAAAAATGGTTTCGCCAAGTAACGGATTCTAGGCTGACCGTTTTTTCTTTCACTGACTTAAAGATGTTGCCCCTCTTTAAAAATAAAAGCCATACTAATAACCATAATATTTACAAGCCTTTCATCCTTTAATTTAATACAAGTGTTTCTTGTAGACATACATAAAAAGCAGTTTGAAATAACAAAATTAAAATCACCTTTATTCTCACCACAAATGTTTAATCACTATTTAGATGTTAATTCATCTTTATTCTATGAAAATTTTTTGTTTCTTGGGTTTTGGGGGGTTTTTTTCCAGTAAAATTAGAAAATGTGCTGCTTTGTATTTTTGTGTTTCGGCTTAATCATAAAACTTAATTGCTAACATTTTTATATCATTATAAATTCTTTTTAACTGAATTCTGTTTTTATATTTAATACACGTGATTTAAGTTGTTTGTCATTAGACATTCATGTAGGAAATGCAGTTTGATTTTGCAGACTTTTAGATGATGTTTTGGAAACAACAGCTTGCAGTTACAATCTCCATTGACATAAAAAATTGTTTTTAGTGAACTGACTGACATTGAGCTTTCTTTCTCCTCCACTGACTAACATTTGGGGGTGTTCCTCTGCGTTGTTACCCACAATGCCAGAATCAACAATTTCACACGTACATCATTTTGCACGCTGGCAGCTGTATGTGTTGAGTGAATTCTCAAAAGTGGACCCCTGAGCCAAAGGCGATATCTGCATATGGATGTGTACATGCACATATATGTCATTTTGATAACTGTTGCCCAGTCTCAGTAAAGGCCGTCACTTTATCCTCCCGTGAGTGACGTGTGACAATCTAGTTTTCCACGTCTTTATCGAGATGACCCAGCCTGCTGTCACACTTCAGTCTTCCTGTCAGTCTGATGGGTGGAAAAAATACACCGCTAGCTTTTGTTTTCAGTGTCTTCTATTACTTTCTTTTGCTCTCCTGATTTTTTTGTTTGTTTCTTTAGTTGCTCTTGGTAAGTAGTCCTGTCTCCTTACTTGTGTCACCTTTAAATTATTACCAAAAAATTCATATGAAAAAGTTAACTTCAGTAGTTTCCACAGTTAGGTCCACTGTGTCAGATGTGAATGTGTAAGAAGGCATACGTCATAGTGATTAAGATTTACTGGCATAAAAAATAACCAGGCAGGTCTCTTGTTTTCGAAGCTCTTTAAAATGTTGAAATGGGTAGAAGAATGAGTTGTTGGCCTTTTTCACAATATTACATGAATATTTACCTTTTTAAAAAAGATTTTATTTATTCTTAAAGAGGTGGGAAGGGATGGAGAAAGAAAGGAAGAGAAACATCGATACGTAAGAGACACATCGGCCGGTTGCCTCTCACACGTCCCCAACCAGCAGGGACCTGGCCTGCAACCCAGGCGTGTGCCCTGACTGGGAAACAAACCAGTGATACCTTTGGTTCACAGGCTGGTGCTCAGGCCACTGAGCTACACCAGTCAGGGCTGAATGTTTACCTTGTTTAGGTTCCGTAAGGTTCAAGGAACCATGAAGAAAGGGCCTATGTGACATTTTAATGCTTCACAGTCCTCACTCCGTTTTATAATTGTGTGTAGAGCACATGCGTGTGCGTAGCTCTGCCTGCGGTGGTAGGCGGTGCTGACTGGGCTCCTCTGAGCAGAAGGCAGGGTTTGAAACGGGTGTGTTGTGACACTTTCTCATGTCTGTCGTGTTGGATATTCCCACCTGTAATAGCTTATTGATCTCTATCAAAGGTCTGGCTGGGCACCAGACAGCCTGGAGAACTCAGAGTCTGTTGGCATCGTTCTCTAAGAACTTGACTCACTCGCTCTGGTCTCTGGGGGCTCCATGGCCGTTCCCCAGTGTTGCTCTGGCTTTGACGTATGTTGTCTGTCGAGTCATGCAGTACACGCATGTCAATAGGAAGCTCTGTTACAGAGCTGCCTTCCCCGTAGTGCTTTGTTTTCAGTTGTAGATCAGAGCACGTCCACCAGTGAGTTTCCTCTGATCTCTCCCAGGTCTGTATGGCTAGAAACGTAGTGGCAGTAGAATGCAGCCATCCCAAAATGTGACAGTTCCAAATCTGGCTTTCAGCCTTCTCTTGAACATCTCTAGCTGTTGATTGCCTTTGTGTTGGTTCGTGAATGTGCACAGTCTTTGGATGTGTTATTTGGGGAGAGGACTGTTCTCAGTTTGCTCTTGGATCGTGGTGGGTCCGCCTCCGTTGGTCGATAGTTGGTCGGCTAGCTGCAGCGTGGCATTTCTCTGCAGGGCCGTTGCACGGTCCCATGTGTAGGTCTGGGAATCCTAACTGTGTGTGTTTGGCGACTTAGGATGCCCAAGGTTTACAGCATTCTCACAGGTGAATGAGCAGTGATTACACTCAGTCTTGTTCCGTGCATGATTTAATACACCATCCTATCATAGCTAAGTTTTAGGTGCAAAACGTGTTCCAGGTTGGTTAACTCGCTGCTTTTGCTTTTCCTTCTAGTTTACTTTTTGCTTTCCTTTGAGTTCATGTGGAAGATTTTCATTTCCTTGTGATTCTCCGGAGCTCAGGCCGTTTCTCTGCCAGGTCCGCTGTGTCTGCTCAGGGACTTCGCAGGCCCAGCAGCCTCACTCATACGTCCCTCTTCTCTGCTGGAGATGCTGCGCAGGCGAGGGCCGCTTGGGAGCGCGTCCCGGAAGAGGGACGTGTTTCCCAGAGAGACACGCGCTCACAGCTTCTTCAGTCTTCAGTGGAAAAATGAAGGGGGTTTTGTTTCATTAAACATAACTGCATTTTCCTTCTCTCTCAGTCTAGTAACATCACTTCGGGAAGGCTCTGTGTACTCCAACAGAGTCTGGAGGTGCTCGTAAGATTATTGTTCATTTTTTTTCTGTGTGGCACAGGCTTGTTTTTGTCTTTCCTCTCCCACGCTGATTTTTTTATGAAAAGGTATTAATCCTCCTGACTTTGGGAAGGGTTCTGAAAAGTGAAACAAGACCCCGTAGCTGCTGCCGCTACACCGGTCAGAGTAGCTCAGGGTCAAGGACAGATAAATCGATGGAAGGAGTTGCTCCCAGGAGCCACAGTAGGGCTTTCACCGGTGGTCGCGTTGATCCGGTGGTTTTTCCCTCACGTTACCGCTTGAGTACTTGCTGAAATAATAGCTTTCTGCATATCGAGTTCAGGGCTGATGAAAGATGGTGAGAGTTCTTTTTGCAGACAGTGGCTGCACTTTCCACTTGATAGCAGAGGCGTGGGTGGGACGTGGGGCGGGCGGCACGTTCAAGCCTCTCGTGTGCGGCCTGGTGCACATCAGGCTCTTGGGGGTGGTTCTTTGAGAAGCTGAGCTCCCCGAGAAACTCCTCAGAGCCGCGTGCAGCCGCAGGTCCCGTGCGTCCCATGCATCCCATGCGTCCCACAGACCCTGCGAACGTGTTCTCGGGCTGGGAAACAGAATCAGACTTTCCCCACGGGGCCCGGGACTAGGGGCAGGGTGCAGGGCCGGGGGGAGAGGGGTCCCTCCCCGGGTGAAAAAAAAGGCCTTCAGACTACTTAGCACTTTCCTTTAGGGTTGCAGGAGGAAAATAAGGGTTAAGGCTATTGCTTTGACTTTTATGTTAAAGGCCCAAATTTCATTTAAAGAATGTATTTTTTTAAAGATTTTATTCATTTGTTTTTAGAGAGGGGGAAGGGAGGGAGAGAAACATCAGTGCGTGGTTGCTTCTCACACATCCCTCACTGGGGACCCGGACCCACAACTCAGGCATGTGCCCTGACTGGGAATCGAACTGGCGACCCTTTGGTTCTCAGGCCAGCACTCAGTCCACTGAGCTGCACCAGGCAGGGCTGAAGAATGTATACTTCCATCTGAAAACTGTCAAGTGACTCTGGTTATGGTCCAGACGTCTGTATTCCACTCCAAATTGATATTTATTGGACAAAATATTGGCTGCAGGATTGACTGTGGTTTTCTGTCGGGTGTGTGCCTTTTGCTTTTCAGATCTTCAGGGTCCTGCTCTGCAGCCAAAACCTCTCACCCCGTGCTGACCCCTCTGGCCTCTAACAACCAAGCTAAGCAGGTAAGTTCTGGCTTTTTGCGTTAACAACCATGCAGTGTAACTTCACCCTGTTTCAGTCCTCACTTTGTTTTAAATGAGCTGTAAGTGTGACAGACATGTGACCCCTGCCCCACGGTTTATGCCAGTCCTGATGCCCGGCAGGCTGCTCAGGGCCTCCCATCGTCTTCACAGGCTGCTTAACGTTCTGCCTGCAGTCACCCTGGTCGGCGTTCTAGTGCCTCACCTTTACACGGGCATTTGGAGCTGCAGTTGCTTTCTGCCTAAGCCACGCAACAGCGACAGGCGGTCGGTGACGGGTGCTAGATGTGTCTCACCGACGGAGAGGCCAAGGCTCGGCGATGCGTGCAGGCGCCCACAGTCAGCGGGCAGGGGACAGAGCTGGGCCCCAAGCCTCCAGCCGCCACCCGTCCACTCCTGTCTCATTGCCCATCCAGCGTCTGGGTCTGGGGGGCGCTTCTCCTGCTTCCTTCTGTGGTCCGTGTCCTGGAGCGCACACATTCTGGGATGCATGTTGCGTGTGTGTCCCCTGTCAGGCTCCCGCACCACAAACACTGTCACAAAAACCAGTCACTTGTCAGCAGTCACAGAGGCCGGCGCTGGGGAGACCGGGCCGACTCAGAAACCTCGCGGCTCTCACGTCACCCTCTGAGAAGCCGCATCTTAGGCTGGGTTGAGACAGAGCGTTAGGACTGGCCTGTTGTCCTCCGTCACGGCTGCCTCGTTCCTTACTTCGCTGTGACTTAAAGTGGCGTGTAGCATCTGGTCATTCTCCTGGAAGTTTCCATATTCACTTTGGTGGACACAGGATAAGAGATCAGTCGCAACAACAAAGAGTAAAGAAACATTGACTAAGTCGAAGAGTTTTGCCTTTTCAGCTTGTTACAAATTTATTGAGAACCAGAACTCATTTCATTCATTTACTGCTTTATGTATTTGCCTTTTATGTGTGAGGCAGGACAGGCCTGGCCCCGCCTCGTCGGCAGCTGCAGGATGAATGCCCCATGCTGTGACCCAGCCTTAGGCTCATTATAGACTGCGTTGTCGTTTTACGTGTCTGTTGTCCCGAGGACACGCATGGTCTCCCACGCATGCTTTGCTTGTGCTCTCTTGTAGGGGCCGTTGGTCAATCCCCTCAAGCTGCCTGGGTCCACGTCCGCCGCTGGTCAGTCGTCATCCAGCGATAAAGCTTCAGGTCAGTTTGCATTTCTGTTGTAAGAAAGTAAAGGTGAGACAGACGCCCCACCGTAGACTGTAGAGTTCTGAACCACAGTCAACCCAGGAGACTGGGTGAAGACACATCATAAGGCCTTGGTTGTTGAAGAGTCTCCAGGAAACCTGTGACCCCTTCGGCGACTCTGCAGACCCACGGACTTTGAGAGCAGCAGGCCAGACCCTTCCTTCAGATGCTTCTCCTGAACAGGAGCCCTGGGGTGGCCTTGCTGGCTGGTCAGGTGGAGGGGAGTGGGTCGGAACATTGGACTCTGTTCCTCCTGCTGGAAAGAGTGAAAACTTCTCTTGGTTCACGGTGACGATTCAAAAGCCAGTGAAATACGAAGAGTAAAATGATGTCCAGTGTGAAGTTTCAGAGTAGGCGCAATGTTGGTATTAAAGATTTTGTGACTTCACATACTCCCGACACTCATGCATAATTACTCACTAAAGTCCATTTTACCATAGGTGCTCCCAGCAGGCATCCACCTAGCCCGTGGGGACTTGAAGCAGGAGTGTGCGTTCATGTAGACCCGAATTTTAACGTGGGCTCCTCCGCAGCGGCCCCCGCCGGTGCCGCCTCTTCTGTCGCCCACTTTGTGTGGCACGTGTTACGTCCTGCTCCAAGGCCCTGGTGCTGTCTGCACTCCTTCATTGTCACTACGCTCTGGACTCTGATTTTCATTTTTATTATCTTTATTTTATTTTTAAGATATTTATTTGTTTGTTTGTTGTTAGAGGGGAAGGGAGGGAGAGAAGGCAACATCATGTGTGGTTGCCTCTCGTGTGCCCCCTACTGGGGACCTGGCCCACAACCCAGGCAGGTGCCCTGCCTGGGAATCAAACCAGCAGCCTTTTGGTTCGCAGGCCAGCACTCAGTCCACTGAGCCACACCAGCCGGGGCCCGTTTTTATTTTGACTCATGTTTCAAGTGGGCCTTCAAGCTAATTCAGCGGGACTTGCTGGACCTGACATGCTAGCAGTCGGCTTTCACGTGAGAACCGCCCCTCAGTTGTACATGCGTCTGACTTTCTCTGCAGTCAGAAGCTTTCTCTTGGACACTGGGAGTGTCCTCACTAAATACCCTTCTGAGCACCTGCCCTCAGAAGAAGCCTAAGTTGTGTTCCAGAGTCTGGATCATGCAGAAGCACAGCCGTTGTTCGTGCCTCACTCGAGAGGAAGGCGCGTGCTTCTTGACGAGGATCTAAAGCCTTGTATCAGAAGGAATATTCTAGTAAAACAGAAGGCTTCTGAGTCACTTAGGGTGCAAATGAAGAAATCGGTTCCCATTTCTGGCTAACGCTTTAGGGAAAAAATTAGAAAGATCCTATATTCTCACTTCAAGGGCTCATTGGAGAGTTCTTTTACTCCTAAAATAAAGAGTCAGTGATCTCTAAGAGACTTCACAATGTCTTACGCAGTTAGCGTGCAGAGAAGCTTCGAGATCATTTAGTAGTGACAGTGAAATATTATCTTTCATTGCTGGGTGTTCACTTACATGTTCACTTGCTGGAGAGTCAAAAGAAAAGGGCCTTTTGGGGGTAGGAAAATTTTCTTGAGAAATGCTATTTAAGAATTTACCAAAATTTTATTTTAAAAGCATATCTGAAACCTCTATAAAATAACTCTTATTAACTAATCACGGACGTGCCTTCGCTGTCCCTCTTCCCCGGCTGTGCGGAACCCACGTGGGACCCGTGGGCCTGCGACCTGCTCTGCACACCACGCAGGTGCCACGGTCACAGGCTGGAACCGAGTCCCTAACTGGTTTTTTTGTAACATTGTTATTTTTCCCCCCAGTTTCAGGGCCAGGGGCAACCAAGGGAGAAGCTGCTGTGACTTCCACCCCATCTGCAGTCGGGCAGTTCAGCAAGACTTTCTCCTTTTCTTCCTCCGGGTCAGTAACAAACTCAGATTTTGTGGTACTTCACCAGCAGCCAAAATAGACAGCATCCCCAGATCTTACAGTCAGTACAATGCTTATTAAATGTGTGCGAGCCCAGAGTCCGTATCAGCACAGGAGCACACACTTGGTAGTGGCAGTAGCCTAACGCCCCGTCGTAAGTCTGTTTCCCCTTTTCAGTTCTGGCTTATGCGTGTGTCGTTTCGCATCGTTTTGGTTTTTAGAATAAGCCTTGTCTTTGGCTCATGGGCCTGTGTCAGCTAGTTTAGTTGGTCTGGTCTGTCATACTGAAATACTTTCATTCTGGCACCATTTGGGGTAGATGTGACATTTGGATTGGCTCTCCTGCACAGAGAGGCGCACTCACCAAACTTCTGAGGGAAGACTGGGCGTTACCCTCGCAGGGAGCAGGCGCAGGCTGACCCCTCGGGAGCCACCAGCATCCTCTTCCTTTGGAGGCAGAGCTGGACTTCCTGGGGCTGAGATGCAGACTGGCCCGAAGGCGTTTTGCCATTGAAGGTGCATCCAGTCCCATTGGAAAAGCCTCTTAAGCTCTTCCAGTCGATATGGAATCATACTGACCACACTCTTTTTTCTGATGTTATCAAAAGCTCTTTGAGAATTTTTCAGGCCTGACACAGTAAGAGGAAAGGGGATGTTGGAATTTGAGAGGGAAAATTATATGTTGTATTATTTCCTCTCTACTGTAAATTGTCATGTTTTATGCAGGCTTTGGTAGAGGTAACACCTGCTTGACTGTGGTTGGTGGGGTACGTGACTGTCCAGCACGAGACGGACAGCAATTTGAGCGTTTCATCTAGAATGTCGTAGGGTTCTTGACTGTGATACTATTACGTTACACAGTTACATGCTTATGCCTTGGTAATAAAAAGGGGGCATACTTCCCAAAGGTACTTCAGAGCAAATTTTAAAGAGTAGTCAGTGCCAGGAGTTAGCGCATCTTTTACAAATGCCAGTGAGTCATCTTTACTTCTATGAACCGATAGTCTTCCCGCTTTTAAAATAAGCTAAAAAGGTTGGGTCATTGGGTTAATGGCTTACCTCCATTAGATAAAATTTCTTCACTAAGGTGGAGGCAAAGAAAAGGTTTTTCTTAAATATAATAAACCGTTTAACACATCATTTTAAATGGTCTTTGTCCATTTGATGAAGGCCATGATGGGGGAAAAAATCTAAACTCTTTTTTTTTTTTTTTTTATTGATTATGCCATTACATTTGCTCTATTCCCCCCTCCCTTCCCCTCCACCCTGCATACCCCTCCCCCACCATTTCCCCCTTTAGTTCATGAACATGTGTCTCAAATTCTTTAGATTCTGTATTTCCCCTACTATTCTTACCCTCCCCCCTATCTATTTTCTATCTACTGTCTATACTACTTATTTTCTGTACCTTCTCCCCCCTTCCCCTCCTCTCACTCCCCCTGTTGCTAACCCTCCATGTGATCTCCATTTCTATGGTTCTGCTCCTGATCTAGCTATCCTCTTAGTTTGCTTTTGTTTTAGGTGTGGTTCTTAATAACTGTGAGTTTGCTGTCCTTTCACTGTTCATCGTTTTTATCTTCTTTTTTTTTAGATAAGTCCCTTTAACATTTCATATAGTAAGGGCTTGGTGATGATGAACTCCTTGAATTTGGTCTTATCTGAGAAGCACTTTATCTGTCCTTCCATTCTAAATGAAAGTTTTGCTGGGTAGAGCAATCTTGGTTGTAGATCTTTGGTTTTCATGACTTGGAATACCTCTGTCCAGCCCCTTCTTGCCTGTAAGGTCTCTTTTGAGAAATCAGCTGACAGTCTGATGGGAACTCCTTTGTAGGTGACTGTCCCCTTAGCTCTTGCTGCTTCTAGGATTCTCTTCTTCATTTTAATCTTGGCTAATGTAATTATGATGTGCCTTGGTGTGTTCCTTCTTGGGTCCAACTTCTTTGGGACTCTCTGAGCTTCCTGGATTTCTCAGAAGTCTATTTCCTTTGCCATCTTGGGGAAATTCTCCTTTATTATTTGTTCAAATAATTTTTCAACTGGTGGTTGTGTCTTTCCCCCTTCTGGTACCCCTATAATTCGGATGTTGGAACGTTTAAAGATGTCCTGGAGGTTCCTAAGCTTCTCCTCATTTTTCTGAATTCTTATTTCTTCATTCCTTTCTGTTTGAACATTTTTTTCTTCCGTCTGGTCCTCTTCCTTGATTTGAATCCCAATTTTCTTTCCATTACTATTGGTATCTTTTGTATCAGCATTCATTTCAATTAATTTAGCTTCCATATGTTTCTCTAATTTGTGACTAAAATCCACCAGTTCTGTAAGGATCTTTATAACTAGTGTTTTGAACTGTGCATCTGAAAGACTGGCTATTTCTTCATCACTTAGGTCTATTGGTTCTGGGGCTCTAAGTTGTCCTAGAGCCATTTTTTGGTCTATTCGTGCTGTTAAGTGAGCAGAGCGAAGCCTTAGTTGTTTACCAGGACGGGGCGACCCAGGTCGCTGGTTTGTGACGCTGTGTGTGGGGGCGGGGTCAGAGAGGGAGCAATGGCGTTCCTCTCCGCTAGCCCAGTGCATCCAGTCACTCAAATGCCTCGGGCCTGCTTATCCGATCCTAATTTTGTGAGCCTGCTGCACCGGGTGGGTTTCCCTTCTCACTGGTTTCTCTGCACGTAAATGCGCGCGATCGACCGACCCACCGCGCCTCTTCCCTGTGCGCTCCGGCAGCCAGCTCGCTGGCGATCAGCGCCCTCGGTTGCCTGCGCGCACCGCCCCGGGAATTTTTTCTTGCTAACCTGCTCCGCTGCTGGCCTCACTCCTCCTACCGGTCCAGCCGAGTTTCTAGTTGTCCTTTGGACTCCGTATTGTCGATTTTCCGTGTGGCTTGGTTGTGACTGCTGTTAAAAATAGTTGTTCTTAGATTTGGTTGTGCACAGAGGTGAGGTGGAACCTCCACCTACTTCTCCATCTTGGCGGAAGTCCTAAACTCTTGCATTGCTTATTACATTTGATATGCTTACATTTTAAAGTTATATCAATTTAAATTTGCTGCTTGAGCTTTTATCACAGTCACAAGTCTATTCTAGTGACACTTGGGCTGAATTCTCCTCTTTGGCTGTGATGTCTGTACTCCCGGCGCAAAGAAGACATACAGAAGGGCAGAGGAGGGGCAGGGAGTCAGAACGGAGTTGGAACCAGGTTTTCCCGGCCCGGAGCCGAGTTGTGTGCAAGTGGCAGGGGCAGTGGCTTTTGTGTCAGCCTCCCCACCAACCCCCTAGTGGCCTGCTGCCCTCCTGACCTGCCCTTTGACGTCGGGGTGGGTTCTGAGAGTCTCTCCCTCATGCGGCCTGTCTCGTCTCCTCCACTAGGCGGACCGTCTGCTCTAGCCACCATTCCCACGTGCACACGGCCACGTGTTTCCACTGCTGCTCCTCTGTCCTCCTCGGAGCAGGTCCCCACCCCAGCCTCTGCCCAGGAAAGCCCGGCCGTCCCTCCACGGCCTTCTTGGCCCCTGCGCCCCGCTCTCCTCCCCACAGATGGCCCCTGCCATGGAGCGGTGGAGGAGTGCCTGACTGCCTCACACATGCGTGCTTTTCTCTGTTAGCTGCTGGACCACACGTTCCCGCAGAGCAGAGTGTGCGGTGCATTGTGGCGTGGTGTGTTGGAAGGGGAGTGCGGTGCCTTGGCAGTGACCCTCACTTCTTTCTCTCCTAGGACTGGCTTCAATTTTGGGGTAATCACACCAACACCATCCTCTAATTTCACTGGCACACAAGGTACGGTCCCTGTCACACAGCATTACTTTTGTCCTTCCCCTAAGCAAGTGCCGGGGTTTTCTACGCGGACGTGTTGGCATTTTTTTGCCTGAAGTATTTGCCGTAAGTTTAGTGTTGGTGTTACCCATTCAAATAGGCTGGTCCATGAATAAACCAACACTGTGCCAAGAATGTCACCAAGGAAAGCACATGCAGGGGAAAATAAGGGCAGGCGCCTTTAATTTCTCTTTTGGGACAATAACTATAGGTGTTATGGAGATGGCATAGGTGTTGTAATGGGCATGAGAACAGCTGTGCATTTCGGCAGTGAACTGCCTCACACAGCGAGCAGTGCTGCGGGGGGCACAGCCGCCCTCCCCGGGCAGACTGTCAGTGTCGGGCACGGGGCGGGGGGGGCTTTGGCGTAGAGGTAGTGGAGGTGTGACGGTCACGTTCTGCTCTGTCCTCCCATTTCCTGCTTTCTTTATCTTACTAGGGGCAGCACCCCCCACTAAAGAGTCAAGCCCACTGGACACGTTCTCATTTGGCGGGGGAGGCAAACCTTTACCCGAGACCATTTCTGAAAGCTCGTCTCCCTCAGCGGTGACAACAGCCTCAAACGCCCCCGGAGCTGCCCTTGCCCCTCCAGGAGAGCCCGCTCCATCGAGCGGCAGGCCTGCGGCACCTTCTGGGATTGCTCTCGGCAGTCCTCCCGGCAAGCTGGAAACCCCGCCGTCCAAGTTGGGGGACCTTCTGTTTCCAAGTTCTTCGGCCGGCGAGACTCTCGGCAGTTTCTCGGGACTGCGGGTTGGCCAAGCAGATGACTCCACAAAGCCAGCCAGTAAGGCTACGTCCGCGAGCCTGGCTAGTGCACAGCCGGCCAAGACTCCCCTCGTCCCCTCCGGGTTTACTTTCGCCGGCCCTCCCACCATAGGCAAGCCTGCGGAGCTTCCCGTCGCCTCCTCTGGGGCCGCCACCACAGCGGCACCGGCTGCCGGCTCCAGCACAAGTGGGGCCTCGACGGGTGTCTTTGGCAGCCTGCCCCTCACCAGCGTGGGGTCCTCCGGGCTCATGAGTTTCAGTGGCGTGTCTCTGAGTGGTAGCAAGCCTAGTTTTCCATTTGGAAGCCAGCAGACGAGTGGTACAGCAGCCCCGTCTGCTGCACCGTCGGCCACCACTGCCGCTTCCCATCCCACATCGTTCCCCATGATGTCATTTGGGGGCCTCCTGAGTTCAGCATCTGCTCCCACCGTACCTGGGTCCTCTGTGAAAGGCACAGAGGAGGCGGCGGCGGCATCATCTGTGCCCGAGAAGCCCGGCAGCAGTGAAGTCTCAGCATCAGCAGCCTCGCTGCCAGGGCCACAGCAGTCAGCCCTGCCTCCCCAGGCTCCTCCGCAAACTCCTGACTCCATGAAGAAAGAGCCCGTGCCTGCCCAGCCCACGGGCAGCAGCCCTGGTGCCGCAACGGCCAGTCCCAGTCTCCTAGCACCTTCTGCAGAGGCCACGCCAGCAGCCACCGGGGTCCCCGACATCAAGGCAGAGGCAGCCTCTCCCTCTTCCTCCCTTTCAGTGCCTGGGCCGACTGCTGTCACAGCAGCCGCAACCCCAAGTGCGGGCCCTGTGACGGCAGAAACATCGAGTGCCCCTGCAGCCACTAGCACCGTTTCCAGTGTTGCCCCGAGCCCAGCCGTAGACACGGCAGTGTTTGGGACTGTCACTTCTGGCTCCTCTGTCTTTCCCCAGCCACCTGCTGCCAGTTCTAGCTCAGCTTTCAGCCAGCTCACCAGCAGCTCGGCCACCACCCCCTCGGCCACCCCTGTGTTTGGGCAGGTGGCGGCCAGTACTGCGCCAAGCCTGTTTGGGCAGCAGACAGGCAGCATAGCCAGCACGGCAACCGCCACGCCACAGGCCAGCAGCTCGGGGTTTGGCAGCCCGGCGTTCGGCACCTCGGCCACAGGGGTCTTCGGGCAGACGGCCTTCGGGCAGGCCCCAGCCTTTGGGCAGTCGACAAGCAGCCCGGCGAGCAGCTTCTCCTTCAGTCAGCCTGGGTTCAGCTCCGGGCCCGCCTTCGGCCAGCCCGCGTCGTCCACGTCCACGTCCACCAGCGGGAACGTCTTCGGTGCCTCCTCCGGCTCTAGCAGCTCCAGCTCCTTCTCCTTTGGACAGTCGTCTGCCGGCACAGGAGCGGGGGTGTTTGGCCAGAGCAACCCCCCTGCCTTCGGTCAGAGCCCTGGCTTCGGGCAGGGGGGCTCTGTGTTTGGGGGGGCCTCGGCCGCCACCACCACAGCATCGTCCTCGGGGTTCAGCTTTTGTCAGGCTTCAGGTAAGCATTTATGGAAGGTTTCTGCCTTGTTCCCCTCGGTGTCACTTGAAGGGTTTGCAGCAAGCCAGTGTAACTGCCATAATCAGAGGGAAAAAGGGACAACACAAATGACTGTAGAGTCGAGGGGAGCAGACAGCGCTGGCGGCCCCAGCAGTTCTTCGGCCGAGGTGCCGTGGGCTCGTCCGCTTTCTTTAGCACCGCCCTCCTCTCTCCTGGCCAGCAGGGTGCTGATTCCGTGGCAGAAAAATTAAGATCGTGACGAGTGATGAGTGAGTCTCAAATAGGAAAGTCTTGATTCAGAGGTCATTGTGGGCACAACCGTCCAGCCGTAGGATAGCCAATCTGTCGCCCCTGAGAGCTCGGGACCAGAACTGCACTGAGCCCGGGCCACAGCCTTACCGGCGTTTTCTGTCTCCTGCGATGCCATCTTTCTGGCTAGAAGGACAGACACCAGCATTTGGAAAGTTTGGACTTTCGATTTTCAGTGTTGTAATTTAAAAACAAAAGTGAAATCTTTACATTTTACTTTTTTAAAAATTAAAATGTAATCTTCCCTTTTGCATATCCAATTTTAGCAGGTCCTTTTACTTCTAAAATTTTGCAACAAACCGTTTGAAACCCTTTTTCTAAGGCTCACTTTGAAGGCTAGCTTGTGCACGGCGTTTTCCCCGCAGGCGGACTCTGGGAAGACAGGGCTACTGACTTCCTTGTGGACAGGGTTCTGCGCAACTGCTCATTCATTCCCTTGGTGGTAGCTAATTTGAAAAGGGTTCCTCGTGTATTAGAAAGAAAACCTTTCTTTCCTTTCTTCAACAAATGTTCGTTTAGCTCCCAATGAGTTTGGCTCCAGGGACGCAGGGTGGGACACAGCCGCGAGGCCCACATGCTGGCCCGGAAAGAGGCAGATCGGCTGACACCGGTGACCTGGCCTAGAGGGAGGAGGGGGAGGCCTTGTGGTCTCAAGGAGTAGGACATTCAGCCTACTCTATGACATCCTTTGTTCAGTCAGAACCTCAGGGTCCCTCCTACACACGCAGGGCACGGTCAGACTGTCCTATCATAATTAGAAGCCTCAGAGGAAGCTGTCTCTCTCACAGTAGCTGAGGAAAGGCCCCTGAGCCGTCACTCCAGCCCTGGCTGGGGAACGGAGCCCCGGTTGTGCTCCCCTCCCTGGTCCAGCGATGGAAAGGAGGCCGGAGCACCTGCCTCCCAGCTCCGTCCAGTGGGGCTCTTACTGTACCGCAGGGCTGGCCTGGTCTCCCCGGCCCCGTTCAGCCCAGCACCTGCCCCGCAGTATGCCTCGTCGAAGGAGGGCAGACTGAAAGAGTCTGGTCTGGGAGAGTAGAGGAAACTAGGATGACGTGTGCATGGTCCTCATTGGAAAGACCTCTTGGCAGCTGCAAGTCCAGGGCACAGCTCCTCCCAGGATACACCGTCCTGGCCCCCAACCCCTCACGTGTGGCGGGAGACAGGAGTCAGTCCTTGGGGCTTTGGGATTCCTATGGCAATAAAGTGTTAACAGAGCAGATATATCTGTATTTACTCATGATTTTCTTCATTTCCTAGATAGGAAGACATTTTATTCATGGATTGATTTATTGTGCAGTATTTTACATGTCTAACAGCCACTATAAGAAAAACCAAAAAACTTTGATGCTGTAAAAGATTCCTTTTACATTTGTTCTCCTTTTATTTTATAGGTTTTGCGTCTAGTAACGCTGGTTCTTTGTTTGGTCAAGCCGCCAGTACCGGGGGGACAGTCTTCGGCCAGGTAAGCGTGGGTGTCGGGCTCTGGTCCCGGCGACGTCTCCCAGACCCCCCCTCGTGGTCCCTGCACACACTGGGGTCGGCGTGTATGGTGCGCAGGCCCCAGCCCCGGATCTGAGAGGATCGCTACCATGCTGACCCTTCTCTAAAAGCACGTGGCCTGACCTCCGTGAGCCTTTGGTGCGCTGCAGCCCATGGGCTAAGCTCCTCCTCTTTTATTTATTTATTTATTTATTTTAAGATCATTGACCTAACAATGGTTGTTTCCTTTTGGTGACCCGAGCGGTTCTGCCTGGCTAGCGGTTGTCTGTGTGCTGGGCGCAGTTTTAGGTGCCTCGCGTCCGTTGACCCCGTCGTCAAAGCACTTCTGTCAGGCAGGTGCCATCCGGGTCCTCGTGAGACCCAGTTCTCTGCACAGAACTTGTGGATGGAACAAAGATGACGGAAAGAAAGTCGGCAAAGGCTTTGTTAGAAAGGGCGGCAGTGGCCGCGCAGCGTCGAGTGCTCCCTGCCACTGACCTGTGCACTTAAAACCACCGAAAGTGCTCGGCTTTGTGTATACTTCACAGCAATATTTTTACAAAAGTTAGAAATGGGGGCGGATAGCCAGGGACTAATAACATTCAAATTAATTAATAATACAAACTAAAACCACAAAGAGCTGCAGAATTACTGTTATGAGTGTGGAGTTTTTGTTTGAAGTGATGAAAAGCTCAGAAATGGGTGGTGGCGATGGCCGCGCAGTGCTGAGTGTGCTCAATGCCAGTGAGCCTCACTCCGAAAGTGGTGAGTTTTATGTGACATACACTGGCACAGTAAAAAATAAAGACAAAGGAGGTTAAAAAGTTATTTTCAAAACAAGAAGAATAGACCCCAGCTGGTGTGGCTCAGTGGATTGAGTGCCAGCCTGTGAACCAAACAACTGCTGGTTTGATTCCCAGTCAGAGCGCATGCTGGGTTGCAGCTGGGTCCCCAGTAGGGGGCACTCGAGAGGCAACCACACATTGATGTTTCTCTCCCTCTCTTTCTCCCTTCCCCTCTCTCTAAAAATAAATAAATGTTTTAAAAACAAAACAAGAAGAGTAGATAAATTCATAGAGCCAAAAATTAAATGAGCGCTTACCAGTGGCTGGGCAGGGGCAGGACTGGGGATGTGGCGGCTCAGTGGTCACAGAACCCCAGCCGCGGTGACAAGAAGGCTTTGGACGCAGAGGCTGGTGTTGTCTGCACAACACTGACTAGAGTCAGTGCCACTGAGGTGTGCGCTTGAAAATGGGTAAAGTACCTGGTTTTACATATATCAGTTTCACAATGTAAATGCCAAACCACTGAGTTTTTTCTTTAAACCAGTTCTGTGGTATATGAAGTAAATCCCAATAAAGCTGTTTCAAAAACAACCACGAATTGGGGTCTGAAAGACGGACACGTAACACAGCAGTAATCTGTTCAGTGGAAAAACCCTCCCGGTCCAGCCGCTGCCGACTTCTGCTAAGAAACAGGAAGTGAGGGCTGGGACACGAAAGGGCTTGCGGTTCGCAGTCTCCTGCTGCCAGGGACTGGAACCCCGAGGTGGCCCCGCTGCCCAGACACGCAGTGAGACGAATAACTTAGACCAAACCCGAAGCAAAGACAGCAGGTTGGTGTCTCTGTTCCCATCCAGCTGCTGGAGAAGTCGGGACGCCTGCCTCCTCACTTCAGGGCGCAGGTGAAGGAGAGGCCCCCACGCTCTGGAGGAACCGCACAAGGGTTCTCTTCTGTACAGAGACCAGTAGGTGCACCCCTCCCCCCAAATGATTATATAACATGTGAAGAAGTAGAAGCGGAAGGGGCCTCACAGTTATATTTTGGAAGTCAACAGAAACAGCGTATAGATGATCCAGATATTAGAACTCTCAGACAAAGTTATCAGAGTAACTGTTGTATTCAAGGACTTACAAGAAAATGAAGGAATGATTGATAAAGAATCTCAGCAAACAAATGGGAATTACAAAAACGAGGCCATGATCTGTACCTGAAGTTAAAGTTCAGTATCCGAAATGACATAAAAAATGACTAGACAGGGTAACAACAGTGAGTGCTACAGAAGAACAGGGAACTTGAAGACGTGTCCACCGAAGTTACCCAAAACGAAGCTCAGAGACCGGGAACAAGAGACAATGTAAGTGACATGGATGACAGTAGCAGCAGTCCACTGTATTTGTTGTCAGAGTCCCAGAAAGAGAGGGGACAGAATAGGGTTGAAAAATAGTACATGAAGCCCTGGCTGGTGTAGCTCAGTGGATTGAACGTGGGCTGAGAACCAAAGGGTCGCCAGTTTGATTCCCAGTCAAGGCACATGCCTGGGTTGCAGGCAGGTCCCCAGTGGAAGCCATAGGAGAAGCAGCCACACACTGATGTTTTTCTCCCTCTCTTTCTCTCTCCCTTCCCCTCTCTCTAAAAATAAATGAAATCTTCAAAAAGAAAAAAATTAAATGAAGAAACTATCACCAATCTTTTTCAAACTTGTTGATAAACAGTCATTCACAGATCTAAGAAATTCAGAATAAATACTAGAAAACCACAACTGGACACATCAGAGTTAACCTTCTGAAAACCAAATGCGAAAAGAGGAATTTTTTTAAAGATTTTATTTATTTGTATTTAGAGAGGGGAAGGGAGGGAGAAAGAGAGGAAGAGAAACATCAATCGGTTGCCTCTTGCACACACCCCAACCAAAGGCCAAGGCACGTGCCCTGACTGGGAATTCACCAGCGGCCTTCCGCTTTGTAGAACGATGCCCAGCCAACCGAGTTGTATCAGTCAGGGTGAAAGAGGAATCTTAAAATATCTTTGCTACCTTGGAGTAGGCTGGTGCTTGTCAGCCAGCATCGGTTTTGTCCCCCAGGGATGCTCACAGTCACAGTGTCTGGAGACCTGCTTGGTCGTGAGTGGGGGGTTCTACTGGCATCTAGTGGGCGCGGTCCGGGGGCGCACCAAACACCCTGCAGCCCTCTGGGTCAGAGAACTGTCCGGCCCCAAGTGTCAACAGTGCCAGCGGCTACAGCCACTGTGCAGACCAAGATTTCTGAGGACACAGAAAGCACAAACCATAAAAGAAGAAAATTGAAACCTGGACTTCATTAAAATTACAAACTAGCGCTCGTCAAGAGACTTGTTACGAGATGAAAAAGCAGGGCGCAGACTGGGAGGAGATATTTATGACACATCAAACCAGACAGCTTCTGTCTGCAGTGTGCAGCGTGGAGCACGGAAGCGCGTTGCTGAGTATGCCAAAGGGTTTGTTCTTGTATTACTATTTGTTTATTATTCTCCATGTGAACAACTGGAAACCTACCTTTGCCCCTCCCTGTGTAAAGAGCTCCTATGAATCAAAAATAAAAGGACACCCAGTTTACAAAATAAACGAGGCACGTGGACAGATACTTGACGAAAGAGGATGTGCAAGTGGCAGGAAGCACGTGGAAGCCAGCGCAGCGTGGCAGGTCCTCAGAGGCACGCCGACTGCAACTGCGGTGCGGTGCTGCTTCACACCCGCTGGGACAGCCACACATGGGGAGGGTCCAGAGCGGCGACCTCCGACCGCGTGCTGCAGGGGTCTCTAAAACACGCAGCACCGGCCCGTGTAGTCGGGCTCTGACTGCCGTTCCCTCAGACAGGCAGACGAAACAGTGACAACGGCCAGTACAACAATATCCATCTGTGTGAATGAGTCCAGATTATTTTTTTGGTCAGTCAGCAAGATACAGCTTTTCAGTGTCCCAGAGAATGTGAGTAGTGAAGTTGTTGGTGTGTTTTTGTGTGCCAAGAGGTGGGAGCAGCCGAAACCGCTGGCCGCTCCAGAGCAGCCAGGTCTCTGCACATGTTGCTGGGGGGAGTGGGACATGGGGCGGTCGTTCTGGAACGTCGGTTGGCAGTTTCGTAGTGTGTTAAATGCACACTGATGTTATGGGCTGGCAATTCCAGTCCTAGGCATTTACTCAGAAGAGAAGAGAATACATGGCCACAAAAAGATGCCGTAAGAGGTGGCAGCTTTGTTCAGGATGGCCGTTAACCCTGGCCCCTCGTCGGCGGAGGGCTGCTCAGCAGCAGAAAGGAAAGAGTGACCAGTGCCCGCAGTAACTGGGGACAGTCTCCGAGGAATGTGGTGATTCCAGCCTGGCCAGCTAGGCGAGAGAATGAAATGAAAAGAAGGCGTCCAGATTGGACAGGAAAGGGTTCAAGTGAAAAAAATGATGTTCGAGTGCTCAGGGAGTGCCTGGCACACAGAGAGTGCTCGATTGTTGGTCCGTTACCGTCATCGTTCAGTGCTGAAGGGCAGCCGTGCTGAGCGTGTGGTTGTTTCGGGTACGGCTCTGAAGTGCACGGTGCTCCCCAGCTCGAGTCACTCACTCAGCATGCCCAGGTGGGAGGGCTGTCGTCCCTGTGGCACAGAAGAGGGACCGCTCTGCCCCGCTGTGAAGGGGGCTCCCGGAAGTTGGACACAGCAACCAGTTTCTAGAATTGTGTCTTACTCGACACGATCAGCCAAGGAGACTGTTGCACACTTAACTCTGATGCTCAGGGTCCTCCAACCTAGCACCGGTCTTCCTTCTGGAACCAACTTCTAGACACGAAGTGGGTGATGTCATCGTGCACCCCGAGTTAGCAACATCCGTTTGCAGACCTGGGCAGGGTTCAGTGGCGGTCATCACTCCAGCGATGGAGCTCATTTGAGGCTTTCTGCAGCACTGGCAAAGTCACTGGGGAATAAGAGGGCCCGTGTTGGGAGAGAAGACTGGCGTGAGCCACTCATCGGCAATGGCTCATGAGTTCAGCCAAAGACTAGAGGGATCAAAACAAGAGGTGCTCATAAGAGCCTAGAAGTGTCTTTATGCTTTTTCACTGGGGGAGCACTTGAGGGGTTGGTTTTCTTGCCCCTGGCGTCGTGTGAGCAGAGACCACAGGCAGCACATCGTTGAGAGCTCCCACCCACCACAAGTCAGGGTTTCAGAGGGCCGTGGACAAGCCGGGCGCTTCGGCCTAGTCGGAGGGCCCTGTGCAGAGCCCGGCTTCCTTGTGGCTGTGAGCGCGTCCATTCCAGCACTGACCAGGCCTCCCCTGCTCGCCCCTGTGTGCCCGCTGTGCCGGCTGTGCCAGCCTCCGGTCCACGCACATGGCCTCTCATCCTGTCTCGCTTCCTGCCCCTTTTGTTCTTCAGCAGCCGTCATCCTCCAGTGGAAGCGTGTTTGGGTCTGGAAACACCACGAGAGGGGGAGGTTTCTTCAGTGGCCTTGGAGGGAAACCCAGCCAGGATGCAGCCAACAAAAACCCATTCAGCTCGGCCAGTGGGGGCTTTGGATCTACAGCCGCCTCAAGTAAGTTGAGCAGGTTTTCCCAGTCTCTCCACCCCCTAATGCCACTGTCATCCTTGTGGTGTTATCAACGCTTTGGTGACAAGTGTGGAAAGGAAGGGTCCAGAAGGCCCATTTAAAATATCTACCCCAAGGCAGTGTGGTCTGTTTCGATCTTGTTTTTCAGTTTTGGTTTTTTCATGAATGTCCTATATAATCCTGAAAAGACAGTATAGCTGCAGAGAGAGGGTGGCAGTGAATTCGGGTAGAGACGACTGGAAATGAGTGCAGGCAGACAGGCATGACCGGGATCGGGGAGCGAGCCGGGGGTGCTCGGGGGGCACGCGGGGCTTTCCTTCCTGCGGTGCTCTCTGCGCTGGCTTAGAGTCCGGCTGCCGAGGAGGAACGTCACCCAGCAGTTGAAGCCCGCGTTGCTTCTCACGTCTCGCGTTTTTGTCTCATTTCAAATGACGCTGTATCCTTCTGCTGGCTAATGTTCAAAATTCATTGTTCATCTGTCTCTTCATGGTTGGAAAGGAAAGAAGTTTCTTTGTTTAAATCTTTTTGAAAATCTACATCCTGCTGCTGGTGGGGCCGACACGGGGAGTTGGGGGTCTGCCGTCTCTGGCATCCCACGGGCAGGACGGCGTCCTTGTAGTCGGAAGCAAAGTGCCCTGTCCCCAGGCTGCTGGGTCCACAGATTTGTTATCTCAAGGTCACTGTCCATCTGGTAATATGAAAAGAAAGACTGCCCCTACTGGTGTGGCTCAGTGGACCGAGCGCTGGGCTGTGAACCACAAGGTCGCAGGTTTGATCCCCGCTGTCAGGGCACATTGCCCGGGCGCGGGCCCCGCCCCTGGTCAGACCCGTGTGAGAGGCCACCACCCAGAGCTGCAGGGCTGCGCACAGTGTGAACACCAGGCCCTGTGCAGCGCTCTGCGCTCTCTGGTGAGGAACGAGCTCAGAGTGGTCAGGCGGTTTCTCGGGTGGGGGGGTAGCTGAGTCACAGAGCCAGAGTAGCAGGTCGGGAATTCAGCTGCGTCTTGCATAATGTGCCAAACAGCATCTGGCACAGAGTGGGCACTTGATAACACGGCAGTTCCAAGTGCGGGTTTACCCCATGGGTCAGTTGTCATCTGTGAGGCTGTTACTAGCCTGTTTTGTTAAAACTGTAGCGAGTCCTCCCCTTGTAAAAGTTCCTGTCTTTATGGCTGGTTCCCTTCTGATGCCATGACTCTTGCCTTTCGGAGAATTGCCTTCTCTCATTGACGGGCTGGCGCTGCTCACAAGTCTGCTGCGCCCACCTCTCCCAGCCCCACACTCGGGACATCGGGAGTGTTTATTTACACCGTGCAGACTGGGCAGTGCCCTCCCCAAGCCCGTTTGTGGCCCGCCATTGTTTCTAATGCTTTCGTTCTGGTTTAAAATAAGCACATCTATTCTTGACACCAGACACCTGCCGGTCTTGATCTCCTAGATGCTGGCAGTTGTTGCCCAGCGGTTTACTCTTGTGCCTTGGGGACGTTTAAGTGAATTTGAGAGGGTACAGGGAAGACTTAACCGTTTTTTGTTGTTGTTTGTTTTTAAAAACTAAATGTATAATGTGATGGTGAGAGGGACGGCAGCCTCTGTAGCCCCGAGCACCAAGAGCAGGAAAAGAAGAAGGATCTAGAAGTCAGGGCCTGGTCCCGACCGCAGGGCTACGAGTGCTGTCTGCACGTCACCGGGGACAGCCTCTTCCTCCCGGTGACTCTGCAGCATCTGGGACTCGCGAGCACCGCTCCTTCCCTGGACTGTGTGCGCCAGCACTCCGGGTCCTCTTCCTGCCTCTCAGTCCTGTCCCTTCTCTGCCCTTTCCTGTCATTGTGGGATGTGTGCCCATCGTCATCTGTGGGTTACAGTGGCCGAGTCTCCCCCACTGGAAATCCACACCAAATTAAGTGGCTTGAGACTCCACGTTTATTTTGCCACTGTTTCTACTCAAAACCGTTCGGCAACTTCCCACTGACTACAGCATAAAATCGAGCTCCATAGGCTGAAATTCAGGAACCTTCGTGAGCTGACCCAAAATTTTTTTCTGGCCCTGGCCAGGTGGCTCAGTTGTTGGGGCATCGTCCCGATACCAGAAAGGTTGCATGTTCGATTCCTGGGCGGAGTGCGTATGGGAGGTACCCGATCCGTGTCTCTCTCTCTCTTTTTTTTTTAAAATTATTATTTATTTATCTTTAGAGGGGAAGGGGGAAGGAGAGAGGGAGAGAAACATCAATGTATGGTTGCCTTTCATGCATCCCCTGCTGGGAATTGGCCTGCAGGGAATTGGCCTGCAACCCAGGAATGCGCCCTGATTGGGAATCGAACCTCGATTGTCTGGTTCACAGGCCCATGCTCAATCCACTGAGCTACACCAGCCAGGGGCCTCCCTTTCTCTTTCTCTGTCTCTCCGGCCCTTTCCCTGCCTCCCTCCCCATCAATAAACATACCCTCAGGTGAGTGTTTAAAAATGTACATATGCTTTTCTGACTCAGACTCGGTTTCCCCAGCACCTTCTCCCTGCTTCAGTCCAGGTTCACACTGTTCCTCCGCCCCTCCCTTCAGGGGGAGTGTGAGTTTCTTCCTGTGCAGCATGGCCTCGGGTCGCTGGGCCGCAGCGACTCCCCGTCCGCACACAGTCCTCGGCCCTGTGTTCTGCTCCCGGGCGAGTCTGCATGCTGGGTGCTCTGTGTCTGCGGTCTGGCCCCTTCCCACAACAGTGTTTCAGATGTGGCCATCCCCATTTTATCCACGAGGACAGAGAAGGGGTGTGGACCCGGGGAGGCAACCACCATGAGTAGTTTAGCCAGAGTTTGATCCGGGTGTGTTTCCAGAGCTCTGCCCCACCAGGTTGCCTCCCAGAATCCTCCTGGCTCTGCGGTGTGACTCACTCCTCCCAGGTGTGCCTAGGTAACAGCCCTGTGCTCCTTCCTCGTGGCGCCACCCACGCGTTCCCCCTTGCAGACAGCGGTCTGAGCGCCAGTCGGGCAACCGGCAGGCCCCTTGTGACTGGCAGGTCCAGTGGGCCAGGTCCCGAGGCTGCCCCCCCTCCCCCCCGCCGCACCCCTGAGCAGTGACTAGAGCTCGGTGAAGACGGAGAAGCATGAGCGGCGCACGCTGCTGTGTGGGTGTGTGTGCTGTGTGCGCAGGCCCGCACGTTGTGCAGGTCTCTTCACCTTCTCCGGAGACGGCGCCCAGGTCCACTGTGAATCCCAGGGGCCGTTTAAAGTTGGGCACCGCAGCGGGTCGGTAGGTGGTCGGTGTGAGTACCTGCTGCCTCCTGGGTCTTGTCTGCGGATGCTGGGCGGAACTGTCCTCGGCGCGTGCCTTTCTGTCCAGGGGCCTGAAAGACTGTGTGTGTGTGTGTGTGTGTGTGTGTGTGTGTGTGTGTGTGTGTGTGTGTGTGTGTGTGTGTAAGCTGTTTGGGGAGGCGCTCGGGCTCACGAGGCTCCCTTGGCAGCTCCTTTTCAAGAAAAGGTCTCGGAACGTGTCCTGGATGGGCGCTTCTTGGAAGTCCCTCTCAGTGTGTGCTGAGTGCTCATCGGGGTCAGGAGGCTGCAGGAGGACACGGGGCCTGGTCTCTGTGGTCACGTTCACAGGCGATGCCGGGCTGTGCCGGTGTCTTCGCCAAACAGAAAGTCCGAGAGAGTCGCCGTGCCAGCGTCCCCTGCACCGTCGCCCAGAGGGGAGGCGGCAGGCGGCTCCCCAGGGCAAGCTCTCTCACTGGCTTACGAGGATCTTCGGCAGTGAAACGCTGCTCCAACAACCAAGAGAATCTCTTCTTCGCCATATTTTCAAGACCTAGAGGCTGGGATATTTGGGAGCCGTTGGGAGACAGCCGAGAAACATGCTGACTGTAGGAACAGAAAAGTAGTGTGTTCGGCCGCTTGGTTCGGAGCAACCCACAGCCTGAAGCGGCTCAGTGTGTGGGCTCCTTTTGAGACTGGAGACAGCAGCCGTGACAGCTTCAACGGTGGCAGTCTTGCCGTCTTCGCAGGAGAAAAAGGAAGTGCCTTTCCTGCAGCTGCGCTACTGGAGTTTGATCACACGGACAGTGATTGGGACGTGGCGGGGCAACACCAAAGAAACAGGGCAGCTGTGTTTCCTGAGGCCCTGCCAGGGGCCCAGCGTCGCCGCACTCGCTCCTCACAGTGGCTTTGCGTGGGCACAGCTGCCATCCCCGCCTCGTGTGCGTGGGACCTGGGGCTCGGCCAGGTCAAGTCCTGCTCAGCATCCTGGTTCAGAGGTATTCTAAGGCAGGTCTGAATGCAAAACTCATGCTGGTTTATTATAATGTGCTATGAACATCTTAAAGACAAGGGATTCTCAAAGAGGCAAAGGGGTAAAGAGGCCCAAGAACTTGTCAATGTTCTCTGGCCTCTCAGGAAATTAGGTCTCCCAACACGGTCTCAGTAAGATCATTTTCCCTCTGTATTTTGAATTTTGAATTTCTCCAAGAGGAGATGCAGCTTTTAATCATGAGTGTGACTTCGTTTGCCCTTTGAAACTGTGCTTCGTTCACACTAAGTCAGAAAATCGCAGGTCCTGCTCGGGACCTCCGGGCTGGAGGAGTGACTGAGAAGCCTGGCCCCGTCCCCAGTGTCAAGTGGACGGCCACCGAAGAGCTCGGGGTGCGAGCCCAGGGACCGAAATAAGGGCTGACCGCCCCCGCTGTGGAGCAGGCACCTCGCGGCCCAGCTCTCGCTCCGTCAGCAGTAGTTTCAGAGAGCGGGCGGCCGTGCGGTGGTCCGAGGCTCCGCGTCACGGGGGCCTGGCAGCTGGAGGCGGGCGTGTTCCTGAGGTGAGGCCACTCGCTCCAGGACTGCAGACCAAGCACTGCAGCTGCGGCATTAACGGGCACGTCGCACACGCATGGGGTCCGCAGCAGGGTGAGGGGGTCCTGCGCGCTGGCAGGTTAGTGGTGGGCCGACCGCCCCTTCAGACAGCTTGACTCAAGAGTGAGGGGCCCTCTTGACCCCCCCTTTCTCCTGCCACGTCCACCACGGGCACCTGGAGACACTCGAGCTTCCCACCTGGCACAGAGTCACCCTCCCTCCCCCCCGAGCTCGTCCCACCAGCCTCCGGTGGGTTCGAACGCGTTTTAATAAAACACCTGTCCGCACGAGGTGGGGAGACAGATGCTTGTCACCCATCCTGGGTTTAGCTGTCAGTTTTCCTTCGTCGTTGGGGGGGGTTTGGAGCATGTTTGAAGGAGTGACTCATAGATGTGAATATGGAAGGTCGGGACCTTAATTGAACTTCTCAGAGGGAATCTTGCTGGCCTCTCTTCCCTTCTCAGAACATGCCTGGCTCCCATAGGCTCAGCCGCAGCCCCGTGCTCGCTGTCCACTGCATTCTCCGAGCAGGCCAGGCTTGGCTGCGAAGGCAGAAGGCTGGGGGCCGGCACCCGTGGCTTGGATTTGCCCTAGTGTCATTCTCTTGGGTTCGACTGAACTTGAGGGTGGTGTTTATGAGGAGATGGGTGAAAACAAGCCTCACTCTCAGGAGAAACCTTTCTGGAGGGAAGCCGCTCTGCTGGTCCTCCACGCCGAGACCTCGCCCCTGCGGCAGTGCAGACGGGTGTCTGCAAGGGAGCCCCTGCTGCGGCTTCGCTCTGTGCCTGTCAGGACACCCTGAGCCCAGGCCCCGGTGTGGTTAAACACTGGCCATCAAGGCGCAGTGGACCAGAGAAGGTGTCCGTTCGCCTCCGCTCCGCATACCCTCTTCACTGACACCCTTCCCCCGAATGCCCAGCTGAGGGTTCTTCCTTCTCTGCCCCGAAAGGTAAACGAGGAGTAAACAGGTGTCCTCCCTCTGACCTCCCTCACGCATGCCTTTTGTCCCCTCAGGCCCCTCTAGCCTGTTCGGAAACAGCGGGGCCAAGACGTTTGGCAGCTTTGCCAGCTCCTCGTTTGGGGAGCAGAAGCCAGCCGGCACCTTCAGCTCCGGCGGAGGAAGTGTGGCGTCCCAAGGCTTCGGGTTTTCCGCACCAAACAAAACAGGTATCGGTGTCCTTACCTTCTGGGGTTACTTCTGTGCGTAGAGCCACGTATGTGCGGCTGTCCAGAAGGAGGCGGGTTGCAGGGGGTGAAGGGGCTCCCCTCCCTGTGCCTCACACTGCTCTGGGTCTCCCGAGACGTATTGAAAAGCACAGAACGTATGTAATGGAGCCTTGAAGAGAACTTAGAGTCTTTTTAGGAAGGGAAACGCAACTATTTAGCCACTACAGGACCAAAGCGAGGGCACACGTAAGACAGGTTGTGTAATTTCTTTTGTCTGTATCGCTTTGTCGTCTTTGCCGACTCGCGCGTTTTGCTTCCGTTTGAATCTAACAAATACGAACACATTGGATGCACATACACTACGCCCAGGCGCACACGCAGCTCACACACACGGCGCAGTTGGCTCTCGCAGGCGGTGCCCCCAGTAGCCGAGACCTCTTCAGCCCGGCATCACTTCAAGTACTCATGAACTGTGACGTTTTATAACCGCGTATTATTACATTGGAATCAACATCTTTCAAGGACATTGTATGTTTAGACTCCAAAACATACTTCATTTCCGTCACCTGCCTCTGCCCTGTCTCTGTCTCCGAGGTCTCCAGGGGGTCTGCCTGCCCGTCCCTGTGGCACGGACAGTCGTGCGAAAAGGCTCGTGTGCTGTTTTTCAGGCGGGGCAGGAGGGGGATGTTGGCTGAACAAGCAGTTCTTCCGCCCAGGCTCCCCTGGGGTGGGAGGAAGGACCCTACTGGCAGGCGCGACGCACGGGGCCTCTGACCAGGACGGCACCCAGTCAGCACCTGGGCCCCCTCGCAGGGCCCGGGGGCCGCGGTTCCCCTGGCCCTGTGCACGGTCCCTCAGACCTGGGCGGGCCTGGGTGAGGCCCCAGTTGTCAGTTTTTGTTCCTAGAAATTAAAATGGACGAGAAATGAGCGGTACAGCTTTAGTTTGGCCCCAGCTTTCCTTGCAGTGAACAATTTAAAGGCTCTCACTCCTCGTTAACAAGGCGAATGTTCCTTGACTAAGAGAGTTTAGTTCATTAATCGTCAGGCCTGTCTTCTTCAGGAACCTGGTAATAATGTTTCTTCGACTCGTGTGTTTTCCTTACGTCTCGTTCCTTATCCCGGAATCAGGTCCCTATTGATTGGGGAGCCCGATGCTTTAACTTTCAGTCTTAGAGAAAAACGTTCATCCCTTTCAGAATAGTTTTGCTGTTTGATTATGCGCCCCACGAAACCACTGAGTTTGAGACCTCAGACAGAGAAAGCCCCCTGGCAAATACATGCTGAACAGGTGACAGGGTGGTGTGTGTCCGCGGACAGCGGTGCCTGGGCATCGGGACAGCTGTCCTGGACGCAGCAGCCACCCAGCTGCCCGGGCGGCACGAGAGCCGAGGCGTCAGGATCGGCAGATCGGCACTCGGCTCTCCCAGGGGCTCAGACTGAGGGTCCAGGAGGGTCTTTGAAAAGTCCCAGACGTGCCCGTCCTCCCCCAGCCCAGTCGTGTTAGGGAATTACACCGATGGAGGGAAGGACACGGGAGGGGTAGGCTGGAAGTGACCTTGTCGCGTTCAGTCCCCTGGGTTCACCCCGCTCTGTTGCTGGAGGTGCCGGGTTAGTGGCGGTGGAGGAAGGTGGGGGTGGCACGCCATGGTTAAGTGAGAGGTGGCCCTTGCGTCCCTCGTTCCAGCCCCAGCCCCACCCTGTACCAGCTCGCTGAGCGTGGACAGAGGACACATCTCCAGGCCTCAGTCTGCTTGCCTGTGGAGTGGGCATCTGGGTTCCCTGAGCGTGTTCGAGCTTGGCATTCGAGGGGGTCTCGGCAAATCACATGTTTTAGTGTCGTCGGTCACTGGTATGTTTTTTATTCTGATCTGGAGAAGAAAACCATGGGAACACGGCATCTAGTAAAATCAAGCCCCTTCTGGCATCAGGAGCAGGTTGCCGTCTCCAGAAACAAGACCAGAGCGAGCCTTCTCTTCCCGGCTCACTTAGCTGTGACCCAGCTTTGTGCGCAGGCCTTGCGAGTGTGCGCGCACAGGCACAACTTCGCTCCCTCCCCGTCCACTTCCCTTTCTGTGTCCTGTTGGCTTCTCGCTTTTCACTCGCCTCCACCACGAGGTCTGAATACGCGGGAGGCCCCAGCACTAGAGAGCCCTGTGTGTCTAGAAAGAAAGGGTAACTGGATCTGGGATCCGCCGTGAATAATTCAGCTGTGAGGGGGTTTAGCACTTTTTTTTCCAGTCCGTTATATTTGTAACCCATCAGTCCTCGTTACCATAGCTTGGAATTTCACCCACGGTTTTAAAATACAGAGTGTTCACCCCAAATGTGAGCCTCAGCGGAAAGCATCTTCTCAGTGGCGCGGGCCTGCAGATGCTCTGCCAGCCAAGTCCAGTCACGACAGAGCAGTTAAGGAGAAAGGCAGCTGGGGCTTCCTGGTCCCAGGGCCGAGGCTGGTGGTGGGCCAAGGCTTCTCGGAGAGGGCCCATTGACCCTCTTTGCGGGGTTCACTTCCTGGAAGAGGCGAGAAGACCGGCCAGGTCCCTGTGGCCTAATCCCTGCCTTGCGCCTACGCTGCCTTGGTGCCTTCGGCGTGTGGCTACCGGACAAGTCCTCATTTAAGAAATACTCTCCTGGAGCACGGATGGTTCTTTTACCGTTCGTCCCATTTCATTCAATAGACACTCCCCAAGTCTCTCTGCTGATGGCCTAGAATAAGGTAAACAGTGTCTTGGGGTTTTGGGACCCTCCTCAGGAGCAGAAGGAACAGTGAGGGAAGGACAGTCCCTCCTCCCGCCCCACCGCCCGTGGCCACGTGAGCAGCAGGGCCAGGAGCCTGCGGAGGGCGCCTTGGCCTTGGGGCCTCCCCACAGCCGATGTGTGACCAGTTGGTGCAGTGTTATCAGAGGAGACACGCGGTGTGCCCTCTTACTGAGGAGGAGGGGTCCAGGCTGCAGGGAGAAAGCATTTTTCTAAAAATTCTTCTGCACAGAGAGAGAGAGAGAGACGGTGGTAAGAGACGTGAGAGCCGATAGCTTTAAATAAGTAAAAAGCCCTGGCAGGGTGCCAGCATCGTGCAGCTCTCCCTTCGAGAGGCCATGACCCGGCCCCCAGGTCTCCCAAGAGGGGACTCAGAGCTTCTAGTGTCACCCTGTGGGTTTCCATGCAGTGACGCCTCGGCTGCGTGGTGATGAGCCATAAAACTGTCCGTCGTCTTTGGCAGCTGGATAGGAGCTGGGGGTTTTGAGGATGATTTTATAGTGAAGAATCTCAAAACAGTGCTGCGGGGCCAGGAAGGGACCTGAAATGCACCAAGTTGATTCTTGGTGATGATCGACTTGACAGGACTTGGAGCTGGCAGGTCCAGCTTACCTCTGGGAGGGCCCGGGACCCCACGGACGAATTCGGGGTCTGCTGGGCTGTCACGGTCCCCAGGAGCGGTCTCCCGAGCAGACCCCAGCCCCCGGCTGGAACCGGGGGAGGAGGTGGTTTGGTGGTTGGGTTGGCTTTGGTTTACATTGTTTTGCTGATAGAAAGGGGGTTGCTCTTTGTCAGAGTTCTCTGTACCCGGGTTTCTAACGTATTTTCCCTTTCTTCCCTCCTCTTTTGATTTGGTTTCTCACTGCTCACTGTCTTCTTTTCCCCTTCTCTCTTCCCCCGTTTCTGTTTGCCTCTGTTTTGCTCAGGTGGCTTCGGTGCTGCTCCAGTGTTTGGCAGCCCTCCTACTTTTGGGGGGTCCCCTGGGTTTGGAGGGGTGCCAGCATTCGGGGCAGCCCCAGCCTTTACAAGCCCTCTGGGCTCGACGGGAGGCAAAGTGTTCGGAGAGGGCACCGCGGCTGCCAGCGCGGGAGGATTCGGGTAAGCCCCTGGGGAGGGCACCTGCGGCCGGCCCGGCGCTCCGGGTTTGAGGAGGACGTCCTTGTATTTTCCCTGCTCTTGACCGTGAGCCCCATGGAAACCAGTCGCTCCAGGATTCCTCTGCTCCCTGCGAAGGCTTGTTTCTTCCAGCCAGACTCCGTAGAGTCTGTGAGGGGACGTCAGCCTCGTTGCTGTTCCTGGTGTGGACAGTACTGGTGGGCAGAGCCCTGTGCTCTGGCTGCAGCGAAATGATTGGTTAAAGGAAGAGAAACAGTCCTTCCATGGCTCCTTTGCAGCCAGGATTGTCCCTCGTGTTGTCACTTCTGCTTGGAAATTCTGAGTGAGTCACTCTCACCAGACCGTTTCCTTTCGGGTGGTTGTGCCTTAGACCACTGTCCTTGAGCAAGCTGCTCCTGTGTCCCCTCCTCCACTCCAGACCCCAGAGAGGGTGTTTTTCCGCAGTCCCCTGGGCCGGCTTCCATACTGGGCACTAAGGGGGCGCCGCACATTTGAGAGTGGGTGACCGCTCAGCTCGCAAAGCTGCCCTACGGCCCTGTTCACGTCCTCACTTAAAAATGCCTCACATCAGGCAGTGGCCTTCAAGGGCCCTGGTAGTTCAGTCTGGTTGCCAAAACCCCCAGGAGAAAACAGCTTTCCCCGCACCACGAAGCCCCAATAAAATACACGTGGTCCCGGCATCAAAGCACCTCGTTCAGAGGAGGTGCCAGTGTCCGACAAGAACGTCTCACTGACCTCTTGCCCTCGGCACTGGACGCAAAGCTAAAGGTTAGGGGAGGAGGGTTTGTTCTGGGGTGAGTCTTGGGGAGGTGATACCATCTCTTTCTTGAAAATGAGCTGGTGTTCTTGCTCACACCCTCCACAAAAGAACCCGGGGCAGAAGCGTTGGCAAGTTTCCAGAAAAATGGGCAAATCTTTGTGTTGCTCCTCGGGTTTATGTGGAGAGTGACGGGTTTTTAAGTTTCCTCCAGGAAACCCCAAGAATTCAGGTCAAGAAAAAGCTTTTAAAGGCTCATTGGGACTGACTGATGCCCGACCCCAGTGTTCTCAGCAGGTCTCGGTGATGCCGACGTTCTCGGCAGGTCTCAGTGACGCCGAGCAGTCACCGCCCACCAGCACAGAGCTCCGCAGTTGCTGGAGGGCTCGTGACGGCCGGGAAGCTTGAGGTTTCATTTACTGCCTTTACCGCCTCGGAGGGGCTCTCCCAGGGGTCCCGGCCGCTGGCGCAGTGGGCCAGGACCAGTGAGGACCGACGGACGATCCCAGTGTGACATCTCCGCAGAGCCCATTGTGTCATTTCCCCCCTCCCCCCCCCCGTGTCATGCCCCTGGCCTCTGACCCGGCGGACATCTGAGGAGTGCCCACTGTAGTTTGGGGGAGGGCCGAGGTGGGAGTGGCAGGGCCACGCTGGGCGGTGCCTGTGGATGACACCTTGCCTCCGCGTGGACATTCAGAGAGGAATGGATAGAGGCGGGGGAGTTCCGTTGGTGAGAAATGCTGAAATGGGGGGATAAAGTCCAAAATTATTGGAAACAGAGCAAAAAAACGCAGTACTGCTCCATTTCCAAGCGGCCGGCATCTCGGACAGTGGACAAAGCTCACACCCCGGACAAGCTGCAGTCCAGGGTGCCGTCCTGGTGTCTTGCTTCCGAAAGCGGAGGCAGCTTGCTCCGGCTCTGGCCGGTTCTCTCTGGGAGGCTGCTGGTCGGGTCCCTCAGGGCACGTCTGTCACGCAGCCTGAGGCTGCCGAGGCTTCCAGACACAGGGCAGCGTGGCCATAATAACCCTGCGGTTTCTCTCCGGCTCCAGGTTCGGGAGCAGCAGCAACACCACGTCTTTCGGGACCCTCGCCAGCCAGAACGCGCCGACGTTCGGGTCACTGTCCCAGCAGACCGCGGGCTTCGGCACCCAGAGCGGAGGCTTCTCTGGCTTTGGATCGGGCACAGGAGGTAGGCAGGCGGTCCTCCGGGTCCTCCGCACGGTGGTCCCTCCCACTTTTGCTCGGCTGGTGCCCCAGCTCTGCCCCACCCGCCGAGAAATGAGTGGTGTCTGCCGGGCGTTTGGGGTGGTGCTCTAGAGGCTGCAGGTGCTCTAGAGGCTGCAGGTGCTCTAGAGGCTGCAGGTGCTCTGTGTAGATTGGAACTGGACTTGGAGCGTTGTGCCTTTTCTTACCAAGTAAATGGCCAGCTGGGTTTTCTTCTCAAGATTTGAGAACCCAAAATAATCACCTTACTAAATTGGTTTAAAAACCCAAGCCAGCAAACAAAAAAAGTAAGATGTAGAAACTTCATGAAATGTCTTTGTTTGCTGCTCTGCCTCTCAGACAGTGGGCATGTATGTGCTGTTTCTGTCTGTGCGGCCCACTCGGGAGGCTGGCACTGCCGCTGTTGTGGAGATGGACACGCAAGGACCCCCCCAAGGGGCCCGCTTGGGCACGGGTGCGGGCAGCGGGCAGCAGAGCCGGGCCTCTGGCCCCAAGGAGAGGAGGAAGGAAGTGGGCAGGAAAGCCGAGAAAACACATTTTCCCAACGAAACGGGTCTGTGCGGCCCCGTGAAGCTCAGCAAGAGGGGCCGGGCCAGACCCTGTGCCTGCACTCGCAGGGACGAGGGACGAGCCCTTAAAATAACTTGAAGACAACTCGCCGCCCTGTGGGGCCCGCCTTCTGTCTGCACAGAGGCGGGGGAGAGTGCCCTTGGGGGCACCTCTTGTTCTTCAAGTGCATGTGTGTCTTAATGTCGCCCTTCTTGTCTTTCCCAGGGTTCACCTTTGGATCCTCTAACTCGTGAGTATCTCTGGTGTGGAGGCATTGAGTGAGGGTGATGGAGTGGGTGGTGCATGGAAACCCCGTGCCAGCTTGTGCTCTGTTTGTGTGTACTTCCTGCTTTGAAAGCTTGTCCTGGAAGCTCGGGGGTTCTGCGGCTTTGCCGACCTCAGCAGGGGTGTGGCGGGTGGCGCCAGGCCGAGCCTCCTGCAGGGCCACGTCTGAGAGAGGGATGGGCCTCCCAGTCGGCAGAGGCTGGCAGGCAGGACTCGAGAGGTGCCTACTAGTGGTTCCCAGGCCCACGGGCCAGTCTAGGTGCTTGGTCGTCATAAGTCGTGTGACAGCGAAGACACAGAGCCTGCGGCGTGAGCACCGGCAGCTGCGTGAGCCCAGAGGCTGACCTGCCCCTCTCCCGGCGCTTCCTTGCAGGTCTGTCCAGGGCTTTGGTGGCTGGAGGAGCTGAGCAGGTGTGGCGCTTCTCCCAGTGCCTGCGTGCCGCCGCCTGCTCAGCTCCTCTGCGCGGGCAGCGCCAAAGTGGCCCTTCCACGTGCACACTCTCGCCAACGCCTCAGGGAGAAGCGGGGGACCGGGGCCCACGGATGCTTCTCGGTTGTTTTCCCCCACCCCTGCCATTAAACTGTTTGGTTTGTTTGCACACAGATGTGAGTGGGTTTTTCAGGTCATGCGAGGAGCTGTGTGGCCACCCCTCGGCCTGCAGCAGGGTGGTCCCCAGCCTCTCTCTCGTCTCGGGCCCAGGGGCTCTCCTCACAGTTGGTGTCAGGACCACCAGGTGCCCGCTTCCAGTTGGGTGGCGGGGTGGAGAGCTGCCGGCACGGCCGCAAGGCAGGCCTGGAGCGCACTGGGAACGTGTCCTCCAAAGGGCCTGGCTCATCTTCTCTGGCCCCAGGTGCCGCGTGCGCTGAGCTAATGCCCTCCACTCTGGAGAGGGGGTGGGCAGTGCATGGAGAGACAGCCTTTCTCCCCAGTAAGTGACAGTGGCACTGGCACTCATGCCCGGCCCTTCGTTAGCCACAGTGCCGACACCCTGGTCAACCTATGGGTGGAGGAGACGTGGCTACTTCCTGCCAGTGCCTGGTGCACAGGATTTCGGGTCGGGGCACATTTTATTTCTTAGGCCAATGACATGACAGTTACTGACAAGCAGGGGTGGTCCCATGCACAGTGGGTGGCTTAGGAATTTGGCCCAGAACATGCCAGTTGCTTTAGCTCAGGTCATTAGCCAGGAGCACTGGAAGGGACAGCTGGCTGGAGTTGGACACTTTGGGAAGGTGTGTCCTGACATGTTTTAGTGGCAGTTTTTCCATGAGGGTAGGTCTCCCTGAGACCCTCCCCCCGCTCCGTGCCGCAGCCTGGCATGCTGGTCCCGCTGGGCCGGTGCCCGTCACCCAGCCCCTGTCCTGTGGCTTCCGATCACGTGGACTCGAATTGGGCATCGAGGTCCACACTTTCCCCACTAGTCAGAGGAGGGGTGTTGGGGGCAGACCGCTGGGCTGTGGACAGCGGACACCTGCTCCAGAATGAGACCCGACCGAGGGCAGCCCGGGCGACTGACCTCTTCTGTGGGATTTGTGAGAGTGAGGTCTGTGTGTACTGCCCTCACAGCCTCTTCAGACAGCTTTGGTCCTGGTGGGACAGAGAGCCTGTGCACCGCCCCCCCCTCCGCCCCCGTTCTCACGTGAGCCCGGCCGCAGGGCAGGGTGGCCCTGAGACACACACAAGGCCAAGCATGGGGCCGCCCCTTCCCAGGAGAGCTCTGTGGCCCTTGCACAGGGCCATCTCCGGATGCAGGGCCTGGATTTTGATGGGAATGCTCATGATGGGGGCCCGCGCTGTCAGGGGTCATGTGACCAGCGACTTCTGCCTCGGCGTGTCATCCTGTCAGCCATCACGCCGAGCAGGCCAGTCTCCCGCTTGTCTGTTTTCCCGGAGTCTCTTTATAAATAGAAGCTGGTGCGGCCTAAACCCTTGACCTCAACTTCTCTGCCTTAATCCTCCGTGGAGGTGGTATGTGGCATCTCTCCCCGAGGCCGTATCAGCTGTGCTCGGCCAGATAACGCCCCCAGGCCCTGCCGGCAGCTGCTCCTGGAAATGCAGTGCGGGCACTGGAGCCCCACTCGGCTCCCTTTTTGGGGCCGATCGCACTGGTGGGAGGCAGGAGTCATCTCAGAGCACAGCCTGCACGCAGCCCCTGAAACCCAAGCTCCCAGGAGGTGGGGCCCAGAATGCACCGAGGCTCCGACCCACCCAGGGGGCGGCCGTGGGCCGGGAGCCTTTCCTGGGAAGCAGGCAGAGGGGCCCCACTGGGTGCGCGGGACGAGCCCCAGTGAGGAAGAGGTGCCCCCAGCCCACCAGCTCTCGTAGAGTGGGCTGCGGTGGTAGGTGGGCAGTCGCAGCTGGCCTCACATACGCCTGCCTGTGAAGCTCTGGAGAGGCAGGAAGGGAAGGGGCAGCTGAATGAGCTGGGCCGTGTTTGTTGAGCTCTTCCAGATGCACACGTCCAGTGTCCCTAGTGGTTCCGACGGCAGCACAGTGGTAGAGGCCATGAACTGGGCTTCTCGGGGACAGGAAGAGTCCATTGGCGCAGTGGGCGTGTTCATGTCCTCTTGCTGACGTGCCTGAGCAGTGGTCCCCTCGGTCCTGTCCCATCCCTGGAGGGCCTGGTCCGTCCAGACCCAGACGCTCGCTCACCCTGAGCCTGGAACCTGGCGCCGGGCTTCCTCGTGCCAGGAGGGCGTCCCCCTCGGCGGCAGATGGAGGCAGGAACCTGTCTTTCAGGGTGGTCATGAGGACTAGCGGGGCCAGCATGTAGAGCCCCAGGCTCCAAGGAGGCTCTCACTGATTGGGGACGGTTCCTGCCATCCAGGGCCCTGCTCTGCACCCAGGAAAACAGTCCAGCCGGTTGCAGGGCACCTTACGCAGCACCGAAGTGTGGTGGGTGAGGGCCGGCCCTCCCTGCCGCACACACGGGACGCACACACGGGACGGCTCAGTTTGAGGCTCCAACTCGGCAGAGCTGCGTCCAGCCTTTGACAAGCTCTGCAGGTGGTCCCCAGACCACATTGTGAGGAGGCCTTCAATTGCGTCATTAGGAGTATTGTCCCCCAGCATCTGAAAGAATGTCTGCCTCCCATGAACATACTTATTTTGTCAGTAACCCAGGGTAAGGGGTCTCCCTGAAATTGTTAATGGCGGCGAATTTAATTTCAGCTGCTCTTAGGGCATCTGCTCAAAAAGTATAGGAAGGTACAGGTGGGCTGTCACCTCCCCTTTCAGACAGCTTCAAACGCCACCTCGGGGCAGGCTCCCCGCCCTCCAGTCAGCCCTTTGTGCTTGGTGACGTCTGCAGGGGCAGGAGCCGTGTCCCCACATCCTGCCGAACTTGGCTTCCGTCTCGTCCTCTTCTCTCCGGTTCTGCCACTCCTGGTCTCCCGTCCACGGCTTCTCCCAGAGCAGCTCGGTGCTGCTGAGCGCCCGCCAGGCAGGAAGCAGGGCGGGCGTCTCTCCCTTCCCCCGCCCTCGTGCCTCCATATGTTGTCCCTTCGTCACTCACATGCGGACAAAAGCAGGTGGACTGAGATGGTGATGGCCCCACTCCTGCTGTGTCCTCAGTGTTTCCCATGGGAGGTTTATTCTCAGCCAAAACCAAAGGCTCCCCGGTTACCTGGACTGGGGCAAGGACAGGCGGAATGAAACCTGATAGCTCTGTACTGAAGACTCCTCTGAGTCTTTAACATTCGTGTCTGCTTTATAAATCAATAAAGTAAGATGCCCTGCAATCTACCCGTCTTCTTGACCTTGGAACCCTTCCACTGGCACCAGGTTCCTTGGAACTCACCCCGGGAATGGCCTCATCGCTGGCATTGCCATCCAGAAGCACCCTCACCTTCCACAGGTTGTCTGCAACCTTCCTCCTGCACCGCAGGCGTGACCTGCGTGGGCCCACTTACACCGGGCTAGGCGGCCTGTGCACTGCAGGCTGTGCAAGGGCCTCAGCTGGGGGTCTGCGTTTCTGGAGGACTGACGTCAGCTGTGGCGGGTGGTCAGTACCCCACCCCCAGCATCATCCAGGGGTCTCCCTCATCCCCATTGTGTACTAGTAGTGGTCATTCTTTGGTGGTATTTTGTGTCAGGTACTGTCTGTCCTAAGTGCTCCTCAGACATCTTCACGGGCCCCATATAGCCAGACACCCCAACCCCCATCCTTGGATGAGAGCGTGAAGCCGAGAGAAGCGGCATTTGCCAAGTCTCAGGCCGGGTGGTGGTGGAGCAGGAGGCCCCTGGCCACGCCTCCTGCCCCATCCTGTGCCGTCCGGCTGCCGAGCCCCTGCCCGTGCAGTGGTCCCATCCGCCCTGTGACAGTGGGCTGACCTTAGACACAGGCCACAGCATGCGCTCACCTGTCGTGTAGTCATTTGTTCCCGTTCTGGCTCCAGCCTTGTCCTCGGTCACCATCTGTCTAAGCCATCATCTATCTCCCTGCCCCGGGGAGGCGGGCAGAGGCTGGGTTTAGCCCATGCTGGACGCACCGCGCACGGGCGGGCCTGCTGGCCACTTTCTGCTGAAGGTGGTCGGTCCGGAGGAAGTGGCTGGCTCCGAGCCCTTTGGCTGGCTGACCCCCTCCTTCCCCTGCTGTCTCTTCCGGGGTCCGGCCCTGGGGTTTTTCGGAGGCCCACAGGACGTCCAGCCACAGCCCCACTGGGCAGCTGTTCCATTGTTCAGCCCGTCTGCTTATAAATAGAACCCCGTCCGTTCCGCAGCCTCCGCCGGAGATTCTCCACATTGTTTTCAGCCCTCGTCCGCCAGCTGCCAAGAGTCTCTGTGCCAGGGCAGGGTGCGGGGGGCAGGCAGGAGCCCAGGGTGGCGCATGGCAGCGACGGGAGCTCACCTCCACCCTGCCCTCACGGGTCCTCAGTGCCGTTCCGGCCCCATCTTTCGACCCTCCTCCTGGGAATCCTTGCCGTGGCCTGGGGTCCTGTGTCAGTCCCTCCTGCCTCCCTCTGTACTCGCCTCTCCCTCCAGGGCCCGTTCCCCCCCACATACCGCCTTCCAGCCCCGGCCCAGCTCGCCTTCCATGACCTGCCTGTCGCACGGGACTCAGAATCATGCCATTCGCGCCAGCACCTTCTGAGCCCCCGGTGCAGCCCAGGTCCAGCAGCCCCACCCTCTTGGCCTGTCCTCCCACGCTGCCAGTCGGAGGCCCACATCACAGTTGTAATTACTCGTGTCATTGGTTGAGTCGTCTGTCGAGTGCCCCTCCCCCCACCAGCCCCATTGGGGACAGAGACCATGCTGGCCTTGTCTGTCCTCAGCTCCTGCTGGCGCCAGGACAGCAAGGGGCAGGAACTGTGGGATGAATGCCACCCTTGAAAGACTTCCCAGAGAGAAACGAGGACTTCCTCAAAAGCCAGATCCCAGCAGATGACAGGGGTTGGGGGCAAGGCTCTTCCCGAAGGTTCAAGGGCATGGAGCCAGCCAGTCACACCAGGGCCCCACAGCCACGCCTGAGTCAGAGCCAGGCTCGGGTTGGCTCTGCCCAGGCAACCTCTTGGCAGTGGCCCCCAGGTCCTCCTCGTCCTGGGAAGGTGCCAGCTGCGGCCAGGTCAGCTGCCCGAGCTACGTGGTGGGAGGCACAGA